ATTTCTCTATTGGGGAGATCTATACCAAGTCAAGTTTTTTACCCTTTTTTTTTACTCAAATTTACGTAAGGGTTTGAGTTTTTATTGGAAATAGTCTTAGGAGGCATGTTATACATCTAACAATTTTAATTTCAATCAATGGCAAACTATAAAGGAATGATGTAAAAAATATTAAAATAATATATATATATATATATATATATATATATATATATATATATATATATAACAAATTAGAAAGAAGAAGGTTTGACAAGATTTTCCTCCATATTTCTTAATTTTTTAAAATTTAAAATTTTTTAATTCAAATCATATGGCTTCCTCCAATGGAACGCACTATCATGTATCATTTGTAATTAAGGATGACAGTGAATCAAAGCGGGGGCGGGGGGTGTAGTCTCCATCTCTATATCCGCTTAAAAAAAATTTTGTCCATCTCCGTTAACAAGTATAATTTATTATCTCCATCTCCGTCTGCAGGTAAATTTGTAATTTTCGTCCCTGTCCTTCCCCCCGCCCCCACTCCCAATCCCAATCTCAATCCCAATCCAACATAATTCAAAATTATAAATAAATCTAACATTTTAAATAATCCAACATAATTATAGAATATTATAATATAATTAAAATTTTATCATTTACAACATAATATAATTAAAACATTGTCTACAACATAATATAACGTAACATAATATAATATAATCCAACATAAAAAAATATAAAAACACAAAGATCTACACTTTTATAAGCCAAAATCATGAAAAAAATAAAATAAAATAAAGCAAACAATTTTCAAAAGAAAAAATCTTTCAATAATATGTAAATTTATATTCACAACATGTGTGTGTGTGTATGCGTGTATGTGTGTGTGTGTATATATATATATATATATAAAATAATAATAATAATAAAGGGTAAAGTAGGGTGGGGGTAAGTGTCAGTTCATTCTCATACGAGTTTATACAGGTATTCCCGTATACGTCAGTCGTCCAATATGTATGATCCATTCTCGGTCCAAACAGGACGAGTTTGAACGAATATTTATTTTTACCTGGTCCATTGGCATCCCTATTTTGTAATCATCTCTCAATTCCCCCAATAATCGATCCCTATTTTTAAAAATTTATTCAAAAAAAAATATTTTCTATCACCTAACATTTTTTTATAATCATTTTATCTAACTTCTCAAATGACAAAATGAAAGGAAAAAAAGATAAATTAAATAATAAAAAGAAACACCAATTATAATCTCATACAATCCCAGAGATAGTTCAAGTGAAAATAAGGGCGAATTGTAAATTAAGACAACCTGAGTTCAAAACTTAGCAATCTTTATGGCTAGCGTCAGCATAATTTGGTTAGTAGGACGAGTCTCTATTAACTGGATAAATCGTCTTCAAGTCTTAAGTGTGGGTTCAACTCTCAATCGACCGTAAGAGTTCTAATTTAACCATTGTACATATTAAGAGGCCGATGCATCACCTTACCAAAATTCTTTTTATTTTTTGGTAAATAATGTTATAATTATCAAATTTTTTGATTAAATTTCTATTTTAAATGACATGACACAATTTTTTACTATCAAATAACTTAATCTCGTTAATATTGATTTGGTAAAAAAATTAAATAAACATACCATTTTCCTTTATTTTTGGTTACTCTAGCATACTCCAACAAGACATAGGCTTCTCTGTTTCAACGCCCCCTATATAAACAAGTAGGAGCTTTTTCCTAAGTTCAGCCCCTCAAAACTTAATTTTATAGTTCAGTCACTTTTAAACTTAATTCTCGAACCTAATTTTTTTTTAAAAACGTCATTTGAAATGACTCCTTCTCCTCTTAAAATGTTATTTAGAATGACAATTTGAACATAAATTTTTTTTTCGCTAAACCTTCATTCGTAATGACGTTTTTAAAATCGTCATTTAAAATGACATTTTATAACAAAAATTTTTAATGGAGTCTAACAGACATTTAGAAAAATAAATGGGTTAAAAACGTCATTGTAATTGACGTTTTTAAAAACGTCATTGTAATTGACGTTTTTAAAAACGTCATTTACAGTGACATTTTATTCCCTTTTTTGTTTAATCACATTTTCTACCTCTTAACCTTTACATTGACATTTTTTATCCCTAAACCTTTTACATTGACGTTTTCTAGCCTTTTACATTAACGTTTTCTTAGCCAAAAGTCTCTAACCATCAACTTGTAATAAATTTCATAAAAACTAAATAATCTCACCTTATGTCTCACATCATGATTCACCAGACCAAAAAAATAAATAAATAAATAAATTTTAGAATTTAATTCCCTTTTCATAAAAATTTTGAACTTATTTTATAATCAAAAATAAAATTCATAAAAACATAATTTAATTTTATATTTTTCAATATAAAAACATATTAGTAAAACATATATTTAATAAAAAAAACCTAAAAACATGTTTTGAAAGCACATTTCTATATCAAAAAACATGTTTTGTATATGTTAAAAATCTCAATATTATACTCTCACTTCCCACGTCATAAAAGCATCCCAATTTGGAGGAACTTTTCCTCAAATTCAGTCAGCCCTAAAACTTTATTTCCCACACTCAATCTTTTTTTAAAAACGTCACTTAAAAGCCGTGGTTTTTAAAAACGTCATGTGGCGTAGCATGCATGTTCCTCGCCAATCTCACACTCAGCATGTTCACCACCAACAACGACAACAATAATATTGAGACGAGAAGTTCTGCAAGACTCCACGAAAGAAAATGAACTAGAAAAAAAATTGAATGTAAGAGCACAGGACAGACAAAGAGAACAGAGAATGTGTTTAAAGATCAACATAAAGAATCGTTCAGCAGTGTTTTTCAAATCAACACTCTTAAGCTTTTGCAAAAGAAAAATCTGTCAAGCTCTGAAACTCCTAGCATGGCCAATGCTAAATGATTCTTGATTTCGTTTTTTGTCTGCTGCAACTGAGAGTAGCAATCGACAACACAATTATTACCAGGGAAGCCAGACTTCTTCCTGTTGGGGCAATTAGATTCTGCTCCTCTCAATATTGAAATAATTTCATCAATGTTGGGCCTCCGGGATTCTTCGTTATTTATACATGCAGCTGTAGCTTGTACCATTCGGGTTATTTGTTTTGAATTTTTTTTAGCGAATGTGAACCTTGGATCAAGCAAAACTTCAATGGTTCCTTGCTGCAATAATGGCTTTGCCTGCAAATTTATGAAATCAAAATCTCTGCCGCCATTAATATTGACTAGAAGCTTAAATTAACAAGCACCTACTACACGCGCAGAGTTTCATTATATAACAGATACTATTTCAATGTCCTCCATAGCTTCTTGAAAGGCACAAAAGGATCCAAAATAGTGTTGTTTTTAGGAAAATTAGAGCACCAAGGTAAATGGCATGTCAAGACAAGGAAAAAGAAAAGACAAATTGAACATCACCAAAAATGAAGTGCAATATTCGACATGACAGGTTTCTTCTTCATATCTTAAAAATTTTCAACAGACAGCCTCATAAAATCAAAGTGAACTGTGTCATATGCTTAATCCAATATAAAAAATCTTTCCTTTCATGAATGGGATACGGAAAAAACCTAAGGACTGTATGTCCAAATTGGAAGAAAATAGTGTTCATGTTGATTCTGAAATTGTTCCAAAATCTGGTAAGAGAAGTAAAAGTCTAATCTCATGTAACACTTGAAAATAACCAAATCGTGTGGTTTAGTAGGATAAACGATGCAAACGATTACCATAAATTTCAACCCATAAACGAGAAAGAGTTCACCAAATCTAGCAGAGAACAAGGACACCATACAGAACTCTCAATGGGCAGTTTGCATGATAAATCACAAGCTATTTTGGGGTGTTTAGCCCATTGCACTGAAAACTGTTTGATGATGAAATGGTCATTCACTAACGTATTGTCAATTTGTAGGTCTAGGGTGCCGTTCTTATTAGGAAAATTAAAACAGTAGATGAGTTGAGCAAAATTAAAGAAGGGGACCCATAGATTTAGCTATCAGAGACCTACCCACAAGACCAAGTTCTCTTCTCCAGGTCCTTTTTTTGTTTCGATTGGCTTCCTGCCACTTATCAGTTCCAAGAGGACCACACCAAAAGCATAAACATCAGTTTTATCAGATACTTTCCCATGCTAGAAATATTCAGGAGCCAAATATCTGCACATTTGATTTCAGTTTTCAGTAAATGGAAAGATCAAAGTTTTTTCCCTCTTAAATTTCTGTCAATAGTTAAAATCATACCCAAATGTTCCTTTCACAGTTTTGCAAAGGAAAGGTATTGAAGGTGCCGTGGTCCAAGTAGCTAATCCAAAGTCACATAACTGCAAATATTATTGAAATAACTATTTTACTATATGCTGCTTAATATGCCCAACTACATGTTCAAAAAATCATTTGAACCTGAAAGAAATTCAAGAAAACAAAACCCTTCCTCACTTGGGCTTTTTCTTAGAAGAGAGAAGGATGTTTGAGGGCTTAATGTCTCTGTGCACAACACATCTCTCAGTTCCATTGTGCAAATACCCGACTGCCTCTGCAATTCCAACATAAAACCTAAAAGGAAACCCCAACAAGAAAAGAAAACCATTGAATGACTCTGTGACCACAAAATATATTCATAAGTACAAAAAAAAAATACACAATCACCAAAACTCACCACCATAAAAATTACCGACAAAAAAATCACCATCTAGCAGAAAACACACGCGAACCACCAAAACTCAACAAAACTACCTATAAAGACCACTAACCTATTACGTATTACATACAAATCCTAGATTCACCTTCTTGATATCTGTTCAGAAAACACCCATGAACACAGATCCATGAGCATCGCCCGAACCCATAAGCCATTTTATAAATGACTGCACCCCAAACTTCTGATCATCCCAAAATAATCACACAAGACCTAGAACCCTAACATATGAGGTTGCAATATATCAGATCAACCAGAATAGATCAAGCCACAAAGCAAATCCTTTGGGCAAAAAATAGAGAATGGAGAATGTGCTCACTGCTCAGTTGGTGGTGGAGCCTGTGCACGCTGGTGGAGCCTGTGGTCGCTGGTGGAGGATGTGCTCGTCGGTGGACGCTGTTGTCGCTTGTGGATGGTTCTCCGATGGTCTTCCTCGTCAGAGAGTAGCTGAGGAGAGCTGAGTGGTTATGTTTTAAAATTTTTGATCTGATCTGTAAAATTTAAGTGGTTGGACTAATCGTTCAAATCGTCATCGAAATTGACGTTTTTAACCCTTTTATTTTTTTAAATGTCTGTTAAGCTTTGTTACAAAACGCCACGTCATTAAAAACGTTATTCGTAACGACGTTTTTAAAAAAAAAATTGAATTTTAGAATTAAGTTTAAAACGTAATTGGATTATAGAATTAAGTTTTGAGGGCCGAGTTTGGAAAAAAGCTCAAACAAGCAGTGCTCGACACTTTCCTTCTCTTCTTGGTAAACCAAGACGGCTCTCGTTGCCCGGTCAACGAAACACCCTATAGAGATAAATTCACTGTAGAGAAAGAAACAGAGGTGTTTTGGAGAGAGAAAATGGACAATATGTGGAAAGATATCATCCTTCAGGCAGCCGTATTTCTCCTCATCATCGTCGTGTTCCTGTTAATTCACAACATCCCCCAAAAACTCATCTCCAAGATCCGTTACAGAGACCGACCCATTCACCAAGCCAAGCGACACTTCGTCAATGGCGCTCAGCTCTTAGCCCAAGCCAGATCTTCCAAAGACCGATCCGCCGTCGATTCGCTAGCCAAATCGGCCGAGTCCGAAGCCGATAAAGCGATCGCTATCGATCCGACGGACGCGGCGTCTCATATATTGAAAGCCCTAGCTCTCGAACTCCAAGGGTTCAAGACCTCGGCTCTTGACTCGATCGATATCTCTCTGTCGCCGTTGGCAGTGAAGTCTCTGGAGGAGAATGAGAGAGGGGACGCGTTGTTGAAGAGAGCTGAGTTGAGACTCGCGGTGAGTCGACGCGGACAGATTGACTCGGTGGTTCAGGACCTGGTTGAGTCGGTGAGGTTGAAGAATGATAATGCCAAGGCGTATTTTTTGTTGGGCGAGTGTTATGAGAAGAAGAGTATGAGAGAAGAGGCGAGGACGGCTTATGAGGACGCGATTAGGGTCGAGCCCAAGTACAAAGTGGCTCGAGAGGCACTGGACCGGTTGGGTTCGTAGTCCAAGAGGATCATGTTTTGGATGCTTTTGTATTTTGTATTTTTTTTTTTTTGGGTAATTTTCTCTTTTCTTAAATTAGCAATGTTGGTGTGTAATTTTATTTTCAACCCCCTGGGAGTATAAAAATATCTCATTGGCTTTTTCGGAGATCTCATTACCTATCCGATATTACAGTTAAAAAGTTGAATTATTAACAATTAAAAAAATATAATAACGATTAAGATTGATTTAATTTTTATTTATTTTATCGGACGATACAAAATTTATCTCTAAATTTTTTTGGGATTAAAAAATAGAGCAATGCTATAGAGATCTTATTTTGGGACTTAATGATGTGGTTTCAATGTAACCATTAACTTAGTTCTGAGTTCCAATGTTAAATGGAGTCCACAATTAATCCAATAGTTATATTGAATTAGGTCCCTAGATTAAGTTCCTAAATTAGGTCCAAATAACATTTTCCTAAAACATATCATCTTCTTTACATAACTCTTAAGGTATGTTTGGCAAATCATGGGTGGACTGAACTAGCTTGGATTTAAATCTCAAACCAGTCCAATGAAATCCTAATGGGCCGGATATGTTAATGGGATAAAAGGAAATTGTGTTATCCAATCCCAAGTTTGGATAGTGCATATGATATGGTTGGGATATGGACAAATTTCACTTTTTTATTAAACATTTAATACCTTTGATATAAATTGACCATTTTACCCTTAAATCCTATCAAATCCTATCTCCTATTTGGCTTGAGAATTGTTGGTTACCATTTTTTTTTTTTAACTTTTTTATCATTGTTGGTTACCAATTTAATATTATAAAACATTTAAGAATGCTTATGTATTCACCAAATACTTGTTATTATACGTTAATTTTATAATACGCTCAGAAATTTATTTCATCTACCAAAATATTAAAATATTTATAACAAAAAAATGACTGAATATAGAAAAACCTACGTCACAACTCAAATTCACATAAACCATAATATAAATTAACGATTTTTTTAAAAAAAAATTAATGTAAAAAATGATATCATTTGACCCTCGATTTTTTATTATTCTACTTAAAGGCCAACAATGATATCATTATTTTATATTCAATCCATAACACATAACAGTAGCAATCTTTAACGAGTAAATTTAGATGTACACATTGTTTTAAGATGTATGTAATTTTTACTCCGAATACTTGTGAAAAATGGCTATTGTTATTTGAGTTGTACATCCATATGAACATCAAACTGAGCAAGTGAATTTTTTTCCCCCGAGTTCAAGAATTTCTCTACTTCTAAAAACTCTTCCTCTACGAAAGAAAATTATACACATCAAACCAAAATTACGAAATCCTAACAAAATTGTTATTTTAGATAATTATGTTGATCAAACAAACCGAAAATTTATGCAGCATTATGTTGAGTTTTTGGAAATTCAATGTGTTAGAAATATAAATACTTAACTTACACCCCCAATAATATCTTAAGCTTTTGATGAGTGCTGAAATGTAAATACTTTAATTGA